ATCTAATTAATTAAGATTAACATGCATGTAAACAATATCTAAATATGCATATAATATATATATACACGAGTAAAAATTTCATCAATAATTAAAATAATATAATAAATCTCTTTGTAGGATTGAAAAAATAACTAAATAAGTATGTGTACATGTGTATACACACTAGATACACATGATCTACAAAAACTTCTCATTTAATATATTCTTAGCTCACTCTTAAATAAATATAATTATTATAGTCTAATCACTTATAATTCAATCACATAATTTTATGAGTCCTCAATTTACAACATAATTATATAACTATCGACATATAATCATGATATATAAACACCACAAGACAATATTCAACTTGTACAACCCAACCCCATTTTAACTTATCCATATAAAAATATAGCAAATACACAACACAACTCAGTTCAACCAAATATGTACAATTGTAACAAATACATGCGTAGGATTCGCACGTAGTTTTCCTTGCTAGCTGGGGTCCTTATATTCCCATTTGATCTTAATGAGAAAAGAAAAATAAATCAGCATACTATCATCACTCTGACAAGACATTATTCTATCCTTCTTACATGTTATTTAAGAAAAAAGATAAGTTTTAAAATAAATATTATTTTTTTAATATAAATATTAATTTTTTCTGTATAACTCTAAAAATTATATTGCATCATTTATATAAAAATAAAAATAATAAAATTAAATTTGTAAATTTTCTATCTTTTTTTTTTCTTTTATAAAAAATCTAGGACACGCAACATTTATTACTACATAAAACAGAGGGAGCAGTAATTTTGCATTAATAATACTATACTTTTTAAAATTAACCAAAACTAAAATGAATTTAATACATTTTAAAATGATAAAAAAAAAACATTCTTCTAAATAATATATGTTATGATTAATTTAAAATTTAATCCTTTTAGATTCCAATTTATTATATAAAACACACAATTTAAACATCATTTTATCAACAATTGATAGTGTAAAAGACATTTCTTTAAAAATAGTTTTTAACTAATACGGTCCATGTCAGGTAGCTTTAATTATATATTTAACATTTAAATAAGATGCTAAAGATAATTAGTTGGTTATAATTATTTTTTTTTCTTTTACACCAGTGCGCATTATATTATTGTGGTAGACGAAATTAATTATCAACTAATGTTGGTATACTCATAGTATAAAATGAACGACAATAATAGCGACACATTTATTTCATTGTGGAAAAAAAATAGGAATAAAATCTTGCTGTGTATGAAATCTGGCTCGCGAAGTTTCAACCTAAACCATGTACTAGTATTTTAAAATATGTTGGGCTTAATTATGGTAACAAAGTAGTATGCATGGCTCTTGGACATCAATCATCTCTAAGTTAGATTTACGAATTTTAACCAAAAAAAAATCTTGAAAAATGATTGAGAATATATATATATATATAAAAGAATAAATTCGGTGATTGAATAATAATGACAGTTGTATAGCAATGGCATATTGGCATGGTTGTCAAGCAATGATGGTTGTTGTTTATTAAAAGCTTGTTTGCATAAAATGAATATGATACACAAAAGTACACGTATCTAATATTTCTCTTTTAGGGGTCAACTGCTCAATTCGTCAAAAAAATAAAGAGCGACCCATATTTCACCGCTGATAAGAAACGAGTAAGAAAAATTATGGTGTTGGATTCGATTTATGTCCAATACAACATAGCTTCAATTAAACAATATATTAAAATAATTAAAATATTTATATTTTATTATATATATATATATATTATGTCAACTTTTTTTATAAGAATGAGGCATCAAATTGTAATAGAATAAGTTATAGAATGTTATAATTCTTTTATTTATTTTGTGTTGTTAAGTTGAGCTATTGTTTAATATTAAGAGACTCTAAGATCTGAAAATTCTTTAAGAATTTTAATAGTGTTGGAGGTTTCTCTCAATAGAGGATCAAGTTGACCCCTAAAGGAAGATTATATAATGTTGGTATTTAAAATAGAGATTCATAAACTCAAGTTCTCAGAAATATTAGAGAGAGGATTTTGGAAAGAAAAGTTCTAGTATAAGAGTTTCCTTCAACTCAAAATCTTCTTCTCCTTCTTTCTCAATTCTTATTGGTGTAATGTTGTTGGATTTATGTCGATAGTTATTGAAATCAATTGAGTGAACTGTGGAGTTTCAAGTTCTCTTCTTCTACCTCGATTTCATGCTACTATGAGGTAAGAGAAGTTGAAATTATAAAATTTAGGTGACTTGCTAGTTAAGGAAATATTTTTGTGTTATATGTTGTGTGAAATTTCAAAGAGTTGTGGCTATGTTGGTGAATGCAAAACCAAAAGTATGGTGGAAGTTTGGGTTTGTAAAGGAGAGTGGGATGAATTGCTTTGGATTGTTGTTGCATGTTGCTTTTTGAGTTGGATTTGAGTTTCTTGTGTTGAGTATGATCATTATTTCTTAGTGGAGCAACGACACTTGATTATGGGGTTATTTTTATGGTATTTGCTTGAGAGGATATTTTATGAGAGTTTTTTTATAAGGTTATTACACAAGCATACTCTACAATAATGAGATATTGTCCGCTTTGGGCCTAAGTCCTCACAATTTTGCTTTTGGTCATCACTCAAAAGGTCTTTCAATCATTGAACCCTAAACCCTAAACCCTAAACCCTAAGTATGGTGGAAGTTTGGGTTTGTAAGGGAGAGTGGGATGAATTGCTTTGGATTTGTTGTTGCATGTTGGTTTTTGAGTTGGATTTTAGTTTCTTGTGTTGAGTATGATCATTATTTCTTAGTGGAGCAACGTCACTTGATGATGAGATTATTTTATGGTATTTGTTTGGAGGATATTTTATAAGAGTTCACTAGTACACAACACACATTTTACGTCGGTTATTTTAGGGATTTTTACGTCAGAAAAACTTCCGATGTGGAAGTGGGAGACGTAAATTTATGTCGGGGTGCGAAAACCGACGTAAATTTACGTCGAATATGCCAAGGTCCGACGTAAAAAAGTCATAAAAGTTTAAAAAAAAAAAAAAAAAAAAAACGAGTGCAAGCAGAACAGGCCGTTCTGCTTGGAGAGCGCCCCCGTTTTGCTTGATAGACCCAAGAGTGGGTTCTCCGAACCCGGACTTGGTCACTTCCTTCTCCAGCTTCAAAAACTCGAAATGCAACACAAACATTATTACAAAAAAAAACATCCTAGAAAACACAAACTTGATAGAAGATGCTACCTCATAGAAAAACAGATGGATGTATGGTTAAGTCATTTCCATCAACACGCGAAGAAGAAACCAACGCAACCCTCCGAAGAAGAAAAATAGAAGAATGTGCAGATGAGGAGGCGGAGGGATGAGGAAGAAAAATAGAAGAAGGTGCACAACGCGCGGGAGAAGGAAACCATGAAATTTTTTAAATCTAGCTAGTGCGCGCACACCTTCTTTTAAGGAGGGCCTGAGGGTTATTTACGTCGGCCCTAATTGGGTTCGACGTAAATTTTAACATCTACGTCGGACACAATGCATAACCGACGTAGATGTTAAAATTTACGTCGAACCCTTGGAGGTCCGACGTAAATAATTTAACAAAATTACGAAACATGCCACCATGTTTTTATTACGTCAGGTGTTTGTATATCCGACGTAAAATGGGTGACGTAGTATCCTAATTTTCCACTAGTGGTTATTACACAAGCATATTCTACAATGATGAGATATTGTTCGCTTTAGGCCTAAGCCCTCACAGTTTTACTTTTGGTCATCACCCAAAAAGCCTCTCAATCATTGAAGTATGTTTGTGCTATATAAGTTGTTATTTCTTGTTTTATTTTATCGATGTGAGACTTATTTGTATCACAACACTTAAATATTAAAAAAAAGTTTACTCCTTTAGTAGAGCAACGATACTTGAATATTAAAAAAAATTGATCCCCAATGAAACAATAACACTTAATTATATATAAAAAAAAATTGATATCTCAATGAAGGCAAAAATACTTGAATAACATTAAAAAAAAATTCCTCCAATAAACATAATGACACTAACAAAAAAAAAAATATAAAATCTAGTCCTTCCTTAAAAATAACCATCCATTATTTAAAAAATTATACCCTCACTTAAGATAATAACACTTATTTATTATTATTTAGAACAAGTGTCATTAAAACCACATATAAATTATTATTTATATTTGTTACACGTAACTTCAATTCCCCTTTTGAGTCACTTTAAAAGAAAAAACACATGACATAGATGACATTAAGTTAACCAGTAATACTTCATTAATCACACCAAAATGATAAAATATTTTAAAACAATCTCTTTAAATAATTTATTTACATAATAACCCTATTAACCACATTAAAACGACACTCCAATTGACGATACTAAAATAATAAAATATTTTGAAACAACTAATGATCGCATTGAGTAAAAAAGCCGACGGAGGAGAGAAATACTTGTGGAAAAAATACACGATACAGCTAATCCAACAATGATTTAATAATAAATAATGTTACTAGAAAAACTATAATAATTAACTAATTTGGGTTGAGAAGAGGGTAGGGTGGTCCAGTGAGGTGTGCAACTGCAAAGCAAAGGAAAGCTGCATCGCACTCTCTCTCTCAACCGAACAAACAACAACGCATCGTTGTCGACATCATTGCCATCCCAGAAACAAATGCAAACCCTCCAACACGTGTCTCTTTCCATTCACCAATTCCCATACTAACATAACATAATAACATTTCTTTATTTATTTCACCTCCCAACCTGTTTGTTTCTTTCGCACAACTTCCTGTGGTCCCCACCCCAGTTTTTTTTTTTATCTGTTTACTCTCGCAAAGTTTTTGTTTGTTTCCTCGACTCAATTTTCCTCGTTATTGTCTTAATCCAACGAGATGGATAATCAAACTCATTCACTTCGTTTGTGACGGAAATTGGTCTCCTGCTTAGGTTGTATGTCCATCTCACTTTCACACTTGCCTGCTACAACATGTTTCTCCAGTTGTCACTACCTCCCCACTGTATTTTACTCGTTTTTCTTGGAATGTAGAAATAAGGGGTGCTATTTTTTTTCCCTCTAGGAGAAGGAAAGAGAGAGAAAAAAAAAAAAAAAAAAAAGTTTAAAGATACCGACTTTTAACTGAAACAGAATGTGGGTGTTATAAGTCCGTAAAGCTACTTTCTTCGTTCCATGCTTTATAGCTTGATCCCGTGCCACCACGCCAGCAGCATCTGCCTTTTGCTTCTGGGGTGGAATCTACGTATAAAAAGTTGAAATCTTTTTTCAGTTTTTGGTGGAGGAAAATTGTTCTGGAGCTGACTTGGGTTGGTCCTATCATTTTTTTATGCTTTTTTGTTTTCATGTTTTTTAACATGCGTAACTCTCTCTCTCTCACTCTCTCTCTGTGAATTGGGTACTTCTATTTGTTTAATGGAAGATTAGACTTAGATTAATGTGTTTAACAGTTCATACCTAATCATCTATACGCGTTTCGTATGCGTTTTGACATCTTTTTTTCTTCTTCTGTGCTAGTTTGCTTGGTGTAGCAGTCATATCTGCATCTGGTTTTGCGCGTGGTGTACATCCAGACATTCTTGCTGGTAATTCAGATACTTTGTTTTTTCCCCTGCTCGGAATTTGTGTTATTTGTTTTTGGCTATTTTGAACTCAAATAAAGTTTTGCCCTTTTCTTGAAAAAAAGAAAGAAAGAAAGTAATTGATGTTCTCCGTTTATCAAGCTAAGTAGAGAGAGGCCAAAACTAGGTCATACAAAGTTGCATAATGCATTGTGAAAAGTTGCTTCTGCACTTTGGATTTATATGTTTCATTTGGTTGTTGTTGGAGATGAGTGGGTAATTCTTGATCTTTGTATGATCGCAGATCAAGTTGGGATAAAGCTTCTCTTCATATTCAAAGAAGTGTTTACTTGTTTTATGTTTGGAGGTCTAATATGCTTGTGAGAAAGAGGGGTTTTTGGATTTGAGTAATTGGGTAGAGAGGAAGGTGAAGGTCCTTTGGTGGAGGTAAGACATGGCCTCTAGAGAAGGGAGACGGCATCATCATGATCTTGTGCCTCTTGCTGCATTGCTCAAGAGAGAGATGAAGAGTGAGAAGATGGTGAAGCCTACTGTGAGGTTTGGACATGCAGCTCAGTCCAAGAAAGGGGAGGATTACTTTCTAATTAAGACTGATTGTCAGCGTGTGCCTGGGAACTCTTCATCATCCTTTTCTGTATTTGCGGTATTTTTCAACTTCTCTGTTTCAGATCATATTTGCTCCTCTAGAAATGCATGGCATAGATAATAATAGTAGTTTGGAGATTGCTGATTCTTGGTTCTACTTGTTTTTAATGGAAATTTTGCTTTATTTTTTTTAATCTTGGGGTGTGGCAACAGCCCTTTCAGATTGTAATCCTGAATTGTGAGGTAAAATGAATGTCCTTTTGGATGGAAGCACATCATCCTATGAGATGGTCACTCGTTTCTTCTGGTTCACAGATCTTTGATGGGCATAATGGAAATGCTGCTGCCATTTTTACTAGGGAGCATTTGTTAAATCACGTGTTGGGTGCCCTTCCTCAAGGGCATGGACGAGATGAGTGGTTGCAAGCTTTACCAAGAGCATTGGTTGCCGGGTTTGTTAAGACTGATAAAGAATTTCAGAGCAGAGGTGTGGGCTTTAGCATTTATGTATTTTTTGGTGATAAAAATAACGTAGGGGATGAGGAATTTATTTACTTTTTCTTCTTTTTACTGATTTTATGAGTCCTCAACTGGTATTGTCCAGGAGAAACTTCTGGAACTACGGCCACATTTGTAATAGTGGATAGGTGGACTGTGACTGTTGCATCAGTTGGAGATTCCCGTTGTATACTAGATACCCAGGGTGATGCGGTCACCACCTTAACTGTTGATCACAGACTTGAAGAGAATATTGAAGAGTATGTTTTTATCTATAAGGCCTAGTTGTTTAGCTTTTTTGGCATGCTCTTGGTTATGAGTTGCATTGTATGCACAGGAGGGAACGTGTAACTGCTAGTGGAGGCGAAGTTGGGAGGCTTAGCATTGCCGGTGGTGCTGAGGTGAGCATCTATTTTTGTTGTGGTTATATTCTTTTAATCCTTAAATGGAACAAAAGGAAGAGATCTTCCATTTGTCTCCTCTACCTTTTCAGCATATAATTTAAGGACATTCCATTTAGCTTATTCTTGTTTTAAAGTTTAGTTCTGAACCATTACAGATTGGTCCCCTTCGTTGCTGGCCAGGGGGTCTATGCCTTTCTAGGTCAATAGGAGACATGGATGTTGGAGAATTCATAGTTCCGATACCATATGTCAAACAAGTGAAGGTATAATTTGTTTCCAGATAATTTCTTCTTCTTTATGTCAGTGATCAGAATGCCTATGCATCATTCTAGGTCTTTGTTCAGGATAAAAATCTTACACTTTGTCATGGATTATAGCTATCAAAGGCTGGTGGGAGGCTTATAATTGCCTCTGATGGCATATGGGATGCTTTATCGTCAGAAATGGCTGCAAAATCTTGTCGTGGTTTGCGGGCTGAACTTGCTGCAATGCAGGTTGTCAAGGTAGTGTACACTACAATGCCATCTGTAATTTAGCCAAATCAACATGGCTTGTGATTTGACATTAGCATCATGTTGCAAAGTTGGCATTTCTCCTCACGTATGTATATTCCAACTGTTATTCAGGAAGCACTAAGAACGAGAGGGTTAAAGGATGATACCACTTGTATAGTAGTTGACATAATCCCACCTGATAATGAATTGCCTCCTACACCTCCTCCCCCAAAGCGGAACAAGCTGAGAGATCTTCTTTTGTTCCGGAAGAGGTCCCGCGAGTCTGCTAGTAAGCTGTCAAAAAAGCTTTCAGCTATAAATATAGTTGAGGAACTGTTTGAAGAAGGATCAGCAATGCTTGCTGAAAGGTAATCTGTCATTATCTTCTATATGAAAATTATTTAATTGACGAGTATTGGAAAATCTCATGAAGGTGCCCTGCATATTGTTTTCCTTCCATGGACCTCCATTTGTCCCTTCAGGACTTCTTTTCAATAGAAGTGGGGATTGTTAGTTTGTTACATGATTTGTGCAAATTAACTCAAGCGACAAGAGGTGGCTAACTCATACTAGTTGTAATTTATACTAAGTGGTGGGAATATTAATTACTGGTAAACGATATGCTGTGAAAGTTTTTACTTTTTAGGATTAGCTTGGAGGCTTATTTCTGAATAGTAGTGGAGACAGACAAGGTATTTATAATTCCTGGGAAATTTGGGAATCAAGCTAATGCACTTTACATTACTATTGGAAGCATTAGTATTTATTTGATCCCTCTCCATGCATTTTACCGAAACAGTATTATCAATTTAATGAAATAAGAATGTTAGAAAACAGAAAACGAATAATGAGTATTTTCCTGATCAAATAAACTAACAGATTTTATCTTTATTTTCAGTGCTACGGTACATTATAGTCTAATTACTTTTATAATGTGCTGGAATTTAGCTGATAACAATATGTGGAGTCGTAAGTGAACACTCCTCCCTATTCCTGGAAGGAACCTTCACGCTTTGCGTAAACCATTTGGCTGTAAAAACACTTATATTTTATCCTGTTGCCTCCAACAAAGTCACAGAATTCTTGATTGATTCTCTTTTAACTCATTCCAACTTAGGATGCCATGTGAGCCAAATTCAGTATGTGTTCTGTAGTTATGAGTTTGTTCTTGTCTGGAATCATTTTCCTGGGTTTCTGATTGAGTTAGACTTAGACAAGTTTCTATCTTGTTCCTTTAAATACTTTTAAAACAGTTATGGTTCATGAATATTTAATACTTGGTATGCCCTGCAGATTAGGAAATGATGACAACTTGAACTCGGGGCAATCAACATCTGGCCTTTTTGTCTGTGCTGTATGTCAAGTTGATCTTGCTCCAAGTGAGGGCATCTCTGTCCACGCAGGTTCTATCTTCTCCACCAGCTCCAAACCCTGGCAAGGTCCTTTTCTATGTTCTGATTGTCGTGATAAGAAGGATGCTATGGAAGGAAAACGTCCAAGTGGAATCAAGGTGTCATAGGCTCAAAATTGGTCCTGTTCCAGTATTCTTTATAATATCTTTCACATTTTTGTATTCACGATTTTTATAGGCAAATTAATTGATTGAATCTCACTATAAAGTAGCAACAGATGTATATGTAATATCCACGAATTCATCTAAAATGGCCATTGCGTTTGAGTAGCAAATTAAGGCTGAGAGACGGCCTGGAATGGGTTTTTGGGCGGCTGAAGATTCTTCATCTCTGGTTGATTGTTAGATTTGGATGGTTAAGATTGGTCCCAGGTAGATTCTTTTGTATAGTACTTTATGTTTGCTTAATGTACCTCAAAAATGGGTATCATCTTGATTAAGTATGCAGCATTGCGTGCTACCTCCACCCCAAAGTCCTGTATATAAATTTTAATGACCATTTCAACCCTTGGGGATTGGAAACTTCAAATCTTTACTGTGGATAGAAATATCAATTCATCTAAATTTAGGAATTGTTTGTTAAATTGTCCGTTAGAAATAATTGGAAGGATAATGTAATGATTAATGCTTCTTGGTACAAGATGAAAGCATAAATTATTTTGTAACTATGGAAAATTTAAACGCATTTTCAACCCACTTTGTATGTATGTAATCCAAGGGTGTGATTTGTCATTTTAAATTTTCGTCAATTTATTCGTATCGGTATGGTGAGTAGACAATGTATGTTATTTGAAAAGAAGCTACGAACTATGGGTTGAAGTAGTCAATATTGTTGTATATTTACTTAACAGATTACAAACGAAGCATGTTCAAGGAAGAACAGTACCAATAAACGTTTATTCTGGTGCAAAGCCTTTAGTCAAGCATTTAAATATCACTTGCTTGCTCCAAGTCTTACATGCTCATTTTCCAACAAATTCTCCAAGTCTTCCCTAGCTCATTTCCAAGTCAACTTGTGAATCAAACGCGTTCTTTTAGATGTTGATACATGACATGTATATATTGTGAATGCGGTGTAGCTGTGCAAGATTAAGAACTTATACCGTACTAATAGTGAACCCGGTTGTTGTCGAGAGAGTTCATTACTTGTTCCTCAAAATAACTGGGAATTTGGTATGGCTCCAGTTGATTTGTTCTGTTTCCTCTTGTTCTCTCACCTTGTACTCATTCACTCTGCTGGTTATGGAAATGGGCACCAAGATTGTCCACTCTTTTACTTGTGGCCGTCTTGGGACTTTCTATTACCCTTTCACCAAGGCAGAACAACCACACTGTGGCTTGCTACCGATACATGATTGTGATAATCCTCATTCACCCATTATAACGATCCAGCTGGAGAAAAATGGAAAAAACTTAGAGCTTAATGGCGTCGTGCAGCAGAATGCCATTACAATTTTGGATGAAGATTTTCATAGGAGTTTACAACAAAACACTTGCCGCACTTTGAACAATAATTATAGTCTTCCTTCTCCTTCTCCTTTGTATTCTATTTATATAAAATATAACGTAACCCTGTTCCGATGCAAACAGGGCCTCAAAATCAACCAACCACCAAAACATTATTTGAAATACCCGTGCCATGGCTATGAGTATGATATTTATTATGACAGCCTTCCCTCTCCAAATAATGAGGAGGCTCATAACTTATTCTCATCCTGCTCAGTTTTTCTGTTACCATCAAAAGACGAGACGAATACCAAAGACATTCTATCGTTTGTAACTGCTGAGATGGTTCTTGAAGTAGTATTATCTAATGATTGTGATGAGTGCTATAATCACAGAGGAGGCCAATGTCGGCTTGACAACAATCAAAAGTTCTACTGTGACACAGGTACGCTTCCAATTAAAGCGCTAGAGATCCATTTACATTCCTAACTGCTGATATCTTCACAAGTAAAATTATTTCATGAATCTACAAATTGTCCCTACACCAACAGTTATGGCACACTGTCTTCTGTAATTCTTAAACCATCAAAAGGTAAATACTAAATACAAAAGGCTGCGTTAGCAAATGTTTGACATAAATTAAAGGGTTTGATTAAAATATTTGCATTTAATTTTTTTTCTTTGTTTTCTTGTGCAGGGAAAACCGGAAAGAAGTTGCTGGTAGTGGGCCTAGTGGCAGCAGGTAAAACACTATACACCCGAATTCAAATTTAACATTTTGTTTTCGAACGATCAGTGTCGACAAATTAATAAATATCCAAAATTTAGTACTATGCAGATTTTTAATACATTGGTTTTTTTTATAAAAATCCAAAATTTAGTCCAGCTAATTAGACATAAGGATCCTAGAAACATATTTTGTGACTTTTATTCATATATACCGGTCATTACTTCAGATAAACTCTTTCCTTTTATATTAAATAAATAAATTCTCCAGCTTCGGTCTTGGTGATTGCTGGAGTTGTAGTGCTGGTGGTGGTTATGGCCTGCTTCAGGAGAAAGATCTTTCTGAGGGAGAATCCAACCCATCGGATTATTGAGGGGTTTCTGAAGGAACATGGACCCCTTCCAACATCTAGGTACAATTATTCAGAGGTTAAGAAAATGACCGACTCTTTCAGAAATAAATTAGGCCAAGGGGGATTCGGTACTGTATACAAAGGGAAGAAGCTGCATGATGGTCGTGTTGTTGCAGTGAAGATTTTAAATAAATCAGATGGCAACGGAGAAGAATTCATAAATGAAGTTGCAAGTATTAGCAGGACTTCACATGTTAACATTGTTCGACTTTTGGGATTCTGCTTGGACGGTTCTAAACGAGCTCTAATATATGAGTTTATGCCTAATGGATCTCTTGACAAGTTTATATATGAAGAGAAAAGTCCGCCACAAGTTGCTCACCAATTGCATTGCAAAATATTGTATGATATTGCAATTGGCATTGCTCGTGGATTAGAGTACTTACACAGAGGTTGCAATACTAGAATCTTGCATTTTGACATAAAACCTCACAACATATTACTAGATGAGGATTTCTGTCCAAAAATTTCAGATTTTGGACTAGCAATATTACTTGAAAAAGAAAGTGCAGTATCAATATTTGGTGCTAGAGGAACTGCGGGCTATATTGCGCCAGAAGTTTTTTCGAGGAATTTCGGTGTAGTATCACACAAGTCAGATGTTTACAGCTATGGAATGATGATCTTAGAAATGGTTGGAATGAAAAATAATATCAAAGCTGAAGTAAACCGGTCGAGTGAAATATATTTTCCTCATTGGATTTACAATCGTCTTGAATCAGATCAAGAACTTGGTTTACAAAATATAAGAAATAAAAGTGATGACAACACGGTGAGAAAGATGACAATAGTGGGCTTATGGTGTATACAAACGTACCCTTCAACTCGACCAGCCATAAGTAAAGTGGTGGAAATGTTAGAAAGTAAAGTTGAGTTATTGCAAATTCCACCTAAACCTTGTTTGTCTCCAGTTCATTTGTCATGTGAGACATTGTAGTTCATGAGAATACTAGTATGTAGTCTATGCTGCAGTATATTGCATTTATTACTGGTATTTGTCGCTTTTATTATAAATTGATGTGTAACCGCGTTGTAACGTGTAAGGTAGCAGCCACTTGAGAACACTTATACTCTATACCTATTTTGGAAATAGTTGGATGAAGATCGAATGATTAACAGATCTTGAATGTGTGTTTTAAGTTGATTGACCAAGATAAAATATCAACCAATCCATCTTCATCTTTCGGTTCAATATTGCTGAACGCATAAATGCGTGGAATCAAGGTTATAAAACTCCCTGGTTAACTAGTAAACTTTTTTGAGTTTACGATCCTACTTAGTAAAAACGAGTTAACTTTAAAGTAAACTCTTTTTTAAGTAAACTCGTTAACCTTTTACAAACTCTTGAGTCAAGAAGCGAGTTAACTACTTTAAAATAAATATGAATTTTACTCTTATTAATTTTATAGTGTTAGTATTTTACAGTGATTTAAATGATTTAAAGAAATAAAATCTTTTATAAATAATTTCACTTTAGAAACTATGCTTTTATGAAATTATATATAATTTGATCATTTATGTAGTTTAATCCTGTTCAATATTAATGTACTATAACACTTTATTATTCTAGTTTATTACTTTTGCCTTTTTATGGAGTTGAAATGTTGAATTATATATTGTTGTATTAAGTATATTATGGTATGAATATATGTAATTAATATTTTTTAATGTTATTTTTATAATAAGTAAATTCTTACGAGTTTACAAGTTGAGAATCAATTTGATGTAAAATATAAGTTATTGAGTGAAGTAATTACATATAGCTAGACTTACTCTTAAAGTAAGTAAATCCTTTCTCTCTCTCTCTTATACACACACATATATAAAAGGTTCAAACGATACTGGTGTAACTTTTACTAAGTATTACACCACTGAATAACTTTATATTAAATGTGATTTTTATAAATTCAACCGTTAGATTAAATTTTTTTTACTCTTAGATCATATATACAAAATTTTATATTAATTGAAAATGATTTGATACTTCATTCTTATAAAATAAAATTGACGTAATATATATATTTCAAAATATAATAAAATATGAACATTTTGATTATCTTTAAGTTGTTGTTCAATTTTAAAAAAAAATTGACATAAATATATAAAGTGATATAAACTTTAAATCTAACGATTGAATTTACACAATTCACACTTAATATAAAGTTATTGAACGGTGTAATACTTAGTAAAAATTACACCGGTATCATTTGAACCCTTATATATATATATATATGATTCATTCTCAGCTTAAATTTGCAAAATCTGGCACTATATATGGATCACATTTATAAAATTGTGGAATTTTCACTTGTTGATATATATATATATATATATATCAGGGAGAGATCAAATTTACTGGTGTAAGTTTTTTTTATCAACTATTATATCATTCAATAATTTTCAATTGAATTATTGTTTTTCGAACACCAATAGATTAAAAGTTTATTTCTTTTAGATTATATACACAAAATTTTAATTAATCCAAAATTATTTGATATTTCATTCATATAAATTAAAATTAACATAATATATTAGGTGATATAATAGTTAGTAAAAATCACATTGATATAATTTGATCCTTTTTATATATGTGTGTGACAAGAACATTATACTAAATTTTCTTGCACAAATATTATATAAAAAATAATAAATATAATATAAAATAACATGAAATTCATAATAGTCCGTTTGTTTATTTATTTATATTCGAAGAAAAAAAATTCTTAATAAAATAAGTTGTTTTTTTTGTTTTTTTTAGAAGTAAAATTCTATGCTTCTTATATATTTTTTTTAAGAAACACTTATTTTAATTATTATTTTTAAGTATAAACAAATTGATCTAATATACAATGTATATGAAAATGATATTTAATTAACCAAATAATTCATCAAAATATTTAAAAAAAAATCAATTTCACAAGTCAATCTGACCTAACCTACTCATGACTCATTAAATTGATGGATAATACAAATTGTGTTATGCAAAGTAAAAGTTAAATCATATAACTTAATAACTTGATGGATTAATGTAGTAGTTAGGTACCATGAACTAATATGTAGTAAGAATAATTTATTCTGTCTTGTGTAAAAACTCGTTGGACTATAACAACATTTATGATATTGTGAAGTTAATTAATCATTGATTCAATTGGCTAAAATATCTATAATAAGACAAAATAAATCATATAACCTAACTTGATTTATTTTGATGGATTAAGTAAATCTATTTATAATATAAAAGTTGAAGATTAAGTTATAAAATCGACATATGTTATTTTCAAGTAATGTAAATATTAACTTTCTTATAAAGAAACACAATATTATAATATCTATTTATAATATAAAAGTTAAATATCGAGTTGTGAAATTGATACACAGTCATAAACATTTTCTATTCTCAAATCATGTAAGTATTAACTTTCTTTATTATAAAATTATGTCATCTTGAATACTCTATAAAATCCACCTCTATATTTTATTTTTTAAGCCTATTAATTTATCTAAATTATTTCTAAATGAATGACATTAATTAATATTAAATTTTTAGTTTTTACTCTAATAACTACATTTGTATCACAATAAAAAAAATAATAATAAATTTTGGCACTCTACAAAATCTACCTCTTATATTATCTATTTAAATCTAAATTTTGTTTTCTCATCTAATTCTCTAAAATGCATTTCTCAATACTTTTTTTTATAAAAAAAATTATTTAACTATACAATAATCTCTATTTTTTTAAAAAAATAATAGAATTTCTTTACTACAAATCTTTTAGTTCTCAACATAGTGTATTGGAATTGTAGGACTATATCCTAAATTTCATTCTTTCTTTTTCTAAACATTCTAAATTATAATTTTTAGACTAAAAACCTAATTTGGTCTCTTATAATAATTTTTTGTTTCAATTTAGTCCCATATTTATTTTTGGTTTCAATTTGGTCCCAAACTAATTAATTGGTTTCAATTTAGTCCCAAATTAATTAATTGGTTTCAATGTGGGACTTCCGTCCAAATTATTTAAACGGAGTTAACTTTTAGCCACGTGGATGCCACGTAGATGCATACATGGATGCCACGTGGATGAGAATGTTTTTGAAAACACCTGGATCCAGAACGGCCCGTTCTGAAACCGGAACGGGCCGTTCTGGGTGCACTTTTGGTGTGTTAATTTTGCATTCGGAACGTCCCGTTCCAGGTGCAAAATTAACACACCAAAAATGCACCCAGAACG